AGCACCCTGATGATGATGACGAACCATTACCGTGATGATGATGTTGAACCACGCCCTGTTGATGATGATGATGATGATGATGATGATGATGATGACGAGCAGCACCCTGATGATGATGACGAACCATTAGTGTGATGATGGTGCCGAACCGCGCCCTGTTGATGATGGTACTGGTGGTGATCAACGCCCCGTTGCTGATGACGAGCAGCGCCCTGATTGTGCTGACACATCTACTTCCTCATGATTGCAGTCGCCACTGCACTTGCACTTCAGTTTACCAAGGGCTGACTCCACTGTACTCCACAGGCGTCGACATAGCCAACGCCTCTCAGACCATATGCCACGTGCAAAAACGCAGCGGCAATGGAGTGAAACGTGGAACTCCTAGAAGAAGAAAAACGGGAGTTAGTCCAGCTGCCACATCAGCTTGTGACGTGGCGTGGACAAGCGCCTTCGGTCACCTGCGCGTGTGCAAAGCGCCTGGTTTACAGAAGAGATGGCCACCATCGCCACCATGGCCCACCTGTGCGATGTCGCAACCCGGGGCGGAGCGCAGCGCTCCCGGTAGCGCCGCGCCCCGCCCTCCTCTAAGCCATCATTGGCTATGATCGGATGACCTGGCGCTCGAGGGTTCCTATCACAATGGCTCCTGCATATTTCTTGTGCAATCAAAGAAGCACTTTGATAAACAGAAGCTACTTTCAACGGCCTAATCACTGTATGAGTTTTTCTTTGGCAAGATAATAAAGATTGCAAAAAAATGAAATAAAAGTAACGACCAGGCGTGAAGCGAACATAACTCTCTTTTTGACAAACAAAGCCTGTTAAAGCTGAAGCCGGATCAAATTTCAATCAATTTTTTGCATAGTAAAAATATTGCATAACAAAATAATCTATTGCGTGCTTTATCAACTTGCTCAATTGATCAACCCCTCTGACATGAAAAATGTTTTGCGAAATGCCCCTGGCATCGGTTGTACCTGGCACCTTTGCAAACTACCCCTACTGGGTACTGTCCATCTTTGCAAAATGTCCCGGTACTTGCCAACTTTTCCCAGGCCCTATTTATTTTCGTTTTACCCCTAGTGGCACAGGTCATC